TATTAATCTTTCTGTTTTGATTTTGAAAATGATTGTTTGATTTTTATAAAGTGTTGGTCCTGATAGAAAACAGCAGTTGGCCTCAGTTTTAAGTTTTCAGACGACCACATGATGGCAGCAAGGCCTACTATACTAGAGCTTGAGTTTATAATAATGTGTGTTTAATACTGTCAGCTTCTTGAAACAGCTGCAGTGGGTCTAGTTTTGCTTATGTTCTTACATTTTGGAAGAACAAATCAGTGGTCTAAAAAAGGAGAGCGCAGGGTTTTAGAAGTTCAAAATCACTATCTGGAAAATGAATTTGCAGCCATTAGGTAGACACCTCATCTGCACTTCTGCTGCCAGTTTCCCAGATATACTGTAAATCCAATGTATATGAATAATAAGACAGATGGCTTTGTGAGATATACATAATTACTGCAGTGGATTCATATGAAGACTCTTGTAGTTAAAGTCTTACTACTGAGACTGCAATGTCTAAACCTACTTCTCTGAAGTATGTTTAACAGAGAAAATTTTTTTTCCCAGAGTGTATTAAGTTTTATATTATACTGGTCTAATTATTCCAGGCATCCTGAAATGGGGGATTTTACACCTCAAAGTAATGTATATGCTCCAAGGTTAGTAGTTGCTGAGAATTTTTTTGTTGGAAAAAAAAGAATTTAACTTTATAACATACATCCAGAACAGGAATTAATTATCTGGAGTTGGGGATAATTTGTGAGGGATGCTATGTAAAACCAAGGAGAAATGTGCTATCTCTAATACTTGCTTAAAATGAGCAAGACTTGTTCATAAATGTACATACATTTAAAGTATTAAGACAGGATGACAAGAAGTTCTCCAATCAATTTCACCCTTGTCACCTCCTAAAGTGATGAAAGAATTTGTACAAACCTCAGTCAAACAACTTGCAGTCAGGTTTGGACAAGAAATAACCCACCAATTAAAATAGACAACATTTTCATTATACTTTTGATTTTATCTACTTTACTGTACAATTAGTCATCATTAGTTTTCCTTTTCCCATCCAACAAAATCTTTTTAATTTTGTATTGTTAGATATTGAAAATAAGACAATATTGATGTTTGCTAGTCCATATACTTCTATAATCTGCCCCACCCAGTGTTGCTGGGATTGGTGAATTATTTTGACAGAAGGGAAGACATGATAGGTTGGTTTAGTCATCTCTAAACTCCCTTAGGGCAGCTCCTTGCCTTAACTTTGTGTCTGGTGTGTGCTTGCTCAAGCATAGTAGGAGTGCAGGCAATACTCCCAAGCTTTGCTTCCTGCATTGCTTGATTAGGTTTAAAAATGTTTTGCAACCACTGGGGAGGAGTTGCTGCTCAGAGTTTTAAGAAGCCTGTGTTAAATTTGTCCTTACAGAGGTTTTGCTGAATTTGGAGACAAAAGTCGATCTTGAAAAAATATAGAAAAGCTAACAGCCTGTAAGACTTGGTAAATAAAGTGTCCTAGAAACCCATCATGTCACTTGAGAATATTTTAAGCCACTTTATTTCTGTATAGCCAATGAGGCACCCTGTGGGATCATAAAGCAAATGCTGTGGTCTGCTGTATTTGTAGATACAGAATGCAAAAACTACAAAGAAAGTCTACTCTCCAGGCAGTAAATGGGGAAGGGTGGTAGTGGTTTGCTCCCTCTGAAAAAGGTGGGGCAGCATTTATTGCCCTGACAATTCAACTAATCCTCCCTGTTATTTGGCCAGTTTGGAGCTTCCAGAAGGAATATAGCAGTCAATATTAGGTTCTTGAAAAGGCCAGAAAGCTGTTAGATTCCTTTACTCAAATTTCTGAGGTAAAGGCACAGATTGGGATGGGGTGATCTGAAGTCTGTCTTAGGAAACAAATTCCAAACTTGGGAAATTAATTCTGTTCTGAATACAGCAGTGCTGTCTTTCATTCTGATTTTCTAAAGATGAATAAGCAGGTGGAAAGAAAACAGAACCTGCAAGTCTCTTCAATCCACAAAGATGTTTGGAGGCAGCTGCCATTGAGTCAATTTGCTAGCAAAATCAGAGCAGGTGAATCAACAAGTTTTCCTTAACCCACAAAGAAGTTAACAGCAGCTCTAATGTGCACCCCAAAGCAACCATAGTTTTTATGCAAGGCTGTAATTATGACTTGTTCCCCCCCCCATGCAATGTGTAAACCCTGTCATTGCCTTTTCTGTAGTGACTAAAATTTCTTGCTATCAATTTGTCTTTTTAACTTTGCTTATTCAGTGTCTCTCTGATCTCCAACTTCACTGGTGTACATGGTAGAGCTGTATCAAATTCCTAAGGTAGAAATACGGATGGCAATACTGCATTTCTTTACATTGATACCACAATATGGTTTGGGTGTTCCATTGACTCATTTCTTTTGGATTTATTTTTTGTACCAATGACACAACAAGGGCAAGACTGCTGTAGAATGATAACAGGGATAACTGAGGGATAACTATAAGATTTGGAGCTTTTAACCATCAACTAGAAAGAAACTTAACAGCCTGGAAAAAGTCCCGTTACAGCCTTTCTGCAAAGGCTTTTAGCTACATAATATACAGTAAATCAACTGAAAGCCATTAGCGCATGCTCTCTTGAGAAACGCCTGGTTTATAGACAAGATTTGGCTTTCTTTTTGGGTCTGTCATCAAACTTTTCAATAGCACCTTGTTTAAATGCACACCCTCTCCTAAGCAGCTGGATCTTGCTTTGTAGTCTTATAGAGAACTTTGAAATCTGATGCTGGCTACATTTAGATGCTGGCTCACACTCTTTACTTGGTCCCAATCGGGAGTGCTTTGCATTCTTACTGAAGGCGCCCTGTGGGGCTGAATGACCCTCATTGACAGACTAAGCTTGGCTCAGCTTCAAATGCTTGTCCTTGTGCACGGCTGCAGTCTAGAGAGAAACTGGTGACGAGAAACTGAGTGTGGCTTTCACACAAGCCTGCAGAAAAAGGCCAGCTGGATTTCTGTAGCAAAAAGACTTTCCTAATACAAACTGTTTCCAGCTAATAAAAGCCATTGGCAGTGCTCCATACATACACAGAGACATCTATATTTCTTTTATTGGCTTCTTAACATATCATAACCATAAAACGTGCTAAGAAAAGGGACCATATGTGTCCATCTTTGATGATGGATATTATAAAGACTATGTCGATTGTCCATCTCTGGTCCTGGGGAGGGAGAAATTGTCCCCCTCAGAACGGGCTCGCAATCTGGGTGTCCTTCTAGACTCACAGCTAAGATCCATGGCTTAGGGCCGGGGTACTTACGAGACCGCCTTCTGCCACCAATAGCCTCCCACCGGCCAGTACGCTCCCACAGAGTGGGCCTCCTCAGGGTGCCGTCCGCCAGATAATGTCGGCTGGCGACCCCCAGGGGGAGAGCCTTCTCTGTGGCGGCGCCCGCCCTCTGGAACAACCTCCCCCCAGAGCTACGTACAATAACAGACCTCCGGATTTTTCATCGGGCCCTGAAAACCCATTTATTTCAACTAGCTGGGCTAGCCTGAGTCAAATTTTAAATGGATTTTAAATTGGAATGTTTTAATTACGGCCAAAATTATTTAATTATTTTAAACAGTTTTTAGATTTTGTATGTTTTGTATGTATGTCTTGTTTTTACTTTGGCTGTTCACCGCCCTGAGTCCTACATTGGAGAAGGGCGGTATAGAAATTTAAACAAACAAACAAACAAACAAATAAATAAATAAATAAATAAATAAATAAATAAATAAATAAATAAATTAGAGCAACATCTGACAGCTGTGGTTAGGGGGACTTTTGCACAGGTTCGCCTGGTGCACCAACTGCAACCCTACTTAGATCAGGAGGCTCTCCTCACAGTCACTCATGCCCTTGTCACCTCACGGTTGGATTATTGCAACGCGCTCTACATGGGGCTACCCTTGAAAAGTGTTCGGAGATTACAGTTGGTCCAGAATGCAGCCGCGCTATTGTGGATGCACCTAGATACACCCACATTACACCAATTCTCTGCGAGCTGCACTGGCTCCCTATCGGTCTCCAGACACAATTCAAGGTGTTGGTTATTACCTTTAAAGCCCTACATGGTTTAGGGCCAGGCTATCTTCGAGACCGCCTTCTACCGCATAGCTCCCAACGACTGGTAAGATCCCAGAGTTGGTCTCCTCCGGGTCCCGTCAGCTAAACAATGTCGGCTGGCGGGCACGCGGGGGAGGGCCTTCTCTGTGGCTGCCCCGACTCTCTGGAACCAATTACCTCCTGCGGTCTGGACCGCCCCCACCCTATTGGCCTTCCGGAAAGCAGTGAAGACCTGGCTTTTCCGGCAGGCCTGGGGCTGTTGATCTCGCTGCTGCAATCTTGCGAGATCCGGCCATGAATGGAGTGTATGGGTTTTTAATGTTTTTTTAAAACAACTTTTATGGTATATTGTTCGCATTATTTTTTGTTGTAAGACGCCCAGAGTCCCCAGGGAGTTGGGCGGCATAGAAATGCAACAAATAAATAAATAAATAAAAGATACAATTCAGAGGCTCGCTGTTGTCCAACACAACTGTAGAACAGTAGACTGACTGGGAATACTAGTTGATAACAGTATCGTGATCTCTATAAATCAGGGGTATCAAACTCACATCATCACAGCGGCGTCATGTGACGTATCGGGACTTTTTTGCCATTCGCTAAACTGGGCGTGGCCAAAGCATGACGCATCTGGCCTGCAGGTCGTGAGTTTGATAGCTCTGCTATAAATTATAAAACCAGGGTGGGAAACCTTAGAACATATATATTATTCTTGGGCACCCTGAAGCTCACCAACATCCCTTAAAAAGAGTGAAAATTTCATCCGTGTCATAGTTCCACCAGTCTTTAATCTCCTCCCTTCCCAAAGTATTTAAAAAGTGCCATTTCTGATTGTCCATAATTATGCCAGAGAATTTCCAGTTTCCAGTCTAGAACTGATTAACATTCTTCATTTTCAAGTGCAGAATAATGAGGCAGAAGCATACAGAGTGTAACCACAGAGTTTATTTCTAACAGAAGAACCTGAAATCTTGCTTCCCTTTTGGCATTTCATACAAACATCCTCTGAGATCAAAGTCCCATTCAGCGTCCTGAATATCTCCATTCCTTAAGATATTAAGTATTACAAACAATAGATATAATTACAAGAGAAAATCTGGGAACAGACTGTCCCATAATTTTCATTCTACTGAACTGAAGTAGAGAATTAGAATAAGATGCCATACTATGGTTTTTGGATTATGACTCCCATCAACTCAGATGGAGGTTTTAATCCAGTAAACAGAGATTGTGGATGATTGTAATTCAGAAGGATCTTGAGGACTACTGATTTCTCATCCTGCCATTGACAGACTATATCTAAAACACTCATTTCTCCATCAGAGAAAAAAATTATTAAGAAAAGTTCAGGAAAAAATGACTGATCTAAGCTAAAACAGATGCTTTAATTTTTGAAAGGAAACACTGGGGTGTCCCTTTGAGATTCACTCATTAAAATTAAAATGCAGACAGGAGAGCAAACAGTAACACATTCTGGATTCTTAATAACCATGTTAATAAGATTCAGTTCCCTAAAGATGCAGCATTTGGCGATGTATTCTCTCTTTCAAAATCAACTGACCAAGCAACATAACAACCAAATAATGTTGTTCACAAACACATGCAATTTGAAATAAAGTGCTTTTATCTATAGTCAGATAAAGATTTTCTCATAAATGCTATTAAACCTTTATTCAAAAGTATATTGAAATAACCAATAAAATTATGAAGGAACAATATACATACAATACTTTAAAAAATTGCTTAAATAGAAATGCACAGAATCTTAATTACCTGGTATAAAAATAAAATTCATCCCTTATCATTTTCTTGACCAAATGAAATTGTAAAGCTTTCCCAGAGTGTAAGGTGCTTTTAATACCAGCAACATTGGATATACTACTAGAAGTAGACAGCTCCAACTCCTTCCAGGCAGTTGTGATTCAGATTCCCACCCTTGTTGACAAGTTGTGAATTTCCTCATTGGACCTGGACTCCAGGCAACCCTGTGCCTCACAGGCAAGCATTGTTGGTAACGGATCTTTATGCCAGGATGGGATACTGAGTTTTAGTAAGCAAATGGGCTTATTAATTTAAAGGGTGTACATAGCTTCCTTGAAAAAAATAAAACTAGGGATAAAGTTCTGACCAAGAAGAAAGGAAGTTAAGAAAAATCATAAAAATGTATGGAGAATTATATTTGTTTAGGTCAATCCTAAAAGTATTCTGTCTGGATGTACTAAACAGCTCAATAAAGCTTCTGGTAGCCTAAAACTCTTTAGATTCATCCAATTCCTTTTTAATACCCCAAAAACCTGACAATCATCAGCCCATAGTGGATTATGTAGTTTAAATATAGGCTAACACCTATCCGCACCCAATTGCGGATTCCCTGTCAATTTTCTTGTTTTTGGTTCATCCTTAGATGAAGCAGTGGTGGCATCTCCCTTCTTTGGCATCCAGGGACCAATGCAAGGTGGGTCAAATCTTACTTAGTGGCACCTCTTGTGTGAATTCAGGTAATAAGTAGCAAAGATTAGTGCCACTTAACGCCCATTCCAGGCAGCCGAGGGCATGCCTCACTACTGCCTCTCTAGCCAGCCTTGTCTACTGCTATTCTATTCCTAGAGAATTGGATACAACAGTGAGTAGAATTTAAGAAAGAAAAATCCCAGGTATTCAAAGAGGATGAACCAGGATAATAGTGAAACATCTTGGGAAACAGCCTGAAATAAGATTGTACATATAACCAATTCTTCCCTGCCCTGCCTAGGGAACTACTAGAGGATGGAAGAATCTGCAGGCAAGCATGTGTTGCCTAAAGGAAGAAAGTTTGAAAAGGAAAGAATTCCTAAGGAAAAGTGCTGCTTGTGATTCTTAGGTTTTTAATGTTTTCTATTCTACTCATGGTACAAGAAAATAAAGTGAAAGGAGGAAGGGAAGAAGTCCACAGATGATGAATGGAATCCTCTAGCCAGCCTCCCCTCTCCCCTGCCCATGTTTCCTGCTGCAGTACTATAATTACTTGCCTCCAGAAGTTGTGGATGGTCTACCACTAGAGGTTTGAAAGAAGAGATTGGACTGGCATTTGTCCAGAATGGTATAAGTTCTTCGGCTTGAACAGGGGGTTGATTAGATCTCCAAGGTCCCTTCCAACTCTGATGTTTTATATTAGGGGATGTCTTTCTGCAGGCTGAGTTGTGCAGGAGGTAGCAAAAGAAAACCAATAACTTTGACTCAACAGAGGCAATCAAGGAAGGATGGAGATCAGTCCTGTTAAGCTATTATATTTCTGCTGCCTTAGAGACAGTATAGGGCACTAACCCAGCAATGGAGAAAGGCCCTATATGTTATGGAAAGAAGTTGTGGAGGAAGACCAGAGCAATGGATGAAGGAACAATCACACAGATTATCTATTTGTTCTTTTTTATGCAGCATTTGTGGAGAGGAAATATGTTCAGTTTGCTTCTAAGAAACTATCAATATTTTAAAGGATATAGCAATAGCACTTAGACTTATATACCACTTCATAGTGCTTTACAGCACTTTCTGGGCGGTTTACAATGTCAGCATATTGCCCCCAACAATCTGGGTCTTCATTTTACTGACCTCAGAAGGATGGAAGGCTGAAACAATCTTGAGCCTATCAGGATAGAATTCCAGACTGCAGGCAGAGTTTGCCTGCAATACTAACCATTGCACCACCAGGGCTCATCCATGATATGTCTTTTTTGAAAGTAAAGAAAAGAGGTCAGTTCTGGCTGAAAACTGACAGGCAGTTTTCCCAAATCCTATCATCTTTCTCCACCATTACCATGCGGACTGAATTGGATTGAGCATCTGGATGCAGTGGTATATCTCAGTTCTAACACTAGTCTACAGTGGCTGCTGCTTAAATGTAGCAAACCACTTTCTCAAACCTGACTACCATAAATACACTGGGAGTAATTTAAGCTCACACAAGTTCACACCGTAAACTTTTGCCATTTGCTTCTCTTATTCCTGTGCACACACGCACTATTTTATATGGTTGTGGGGGCCTCAGCAGATCACCAGGATATGTGAAAATAAAGAGAAATCCCATTTGTCATTGGAATCTGCTTTTGCATGATTTATTCATGAATGCTCAACTATTTCGTTTTTAAAAAACTGTAGCAGCTTTTTAATTGCATTTTTGTACATTATATCTATCTATCTTAAATAAGACAGTTCAGGCCATTTTCTTACTTATACCATCTTCAAGTTTCATTCAGAAATGGTTGAGGTGTCATTTTCACTATTATATCAGCATAACAATAGTTATGCAACACTTTAAATGGTTAACAGAGGTAGCATTAACAGCCACCTTCTGCATGGCAATACTGCAGCTTTGCCCCAGCTGGTTTCTGAAAGTTGGATAAACAGTCAAGATATGTCAGGTCATAGCCTTAAATGTGGCCCAACAAACCCTGAGTTACTGCCTGAATCTGAGATTCACAAAGGACTGAGACTTATCCATAAGCAATTGCAACAGCTCAGAATTAGTTAATATATAGTGTTTCCCATCTTTTGCCAATGCAGAGGAACCTTCTAACTATGCCTATCCAAAGGGAATGCCACCAAAAAGGATAAAAGCCAGACTAGCAGATGGTTATGATCTAAAAGGCAATAAGAGTAACATCCACAAAAAGGATTGTAAGACAACCATCACATCTGGATATAGACATGGGTATGTTGTATAATCAGTTGCTTAGCAACCAGTATTTGTATTTTAGGTGATAAATCATTAATATCTCCTTTGGAATAGTAAGCCAAGCAGGTTATTTAAATAGTTTCCAGACCCTTCCTCAGCTTTTTTTCTCATTCAGACAAATTACAATGATCTCTTGTCTACAAGCTGGTCTCATTTTGATGTGACAAACATAAGGTCATTGTCAACAGGAAAAAGAGCATAAGTGATAGAAAATGCAGCAGCTAAGTGATCCTTACCATTTAAACACTAAGTCAACAAAAGGATGTGTGGAGCTGTGGATCAAGAATGATCTCCTTGATACAATATATAGTTTGAACTTGGATGCTTTGAGCTTGAGCTTAGACTTCTATATGTCTCATTCTCAGATTTCTCTTCTTGCATATCAAGTTCCAGAAAAATAGCAGCATAATCTATTGCAGTATTTTTTAAAACACATTGTGTCATATGATGCTCTTGTTACTGTATTACTATTTTATATGTTGGAGAAGAAAACAGTGAAATCAAAAAAAGGAAAGATGAAGAAAACCCAGAAGATCCTAAAATGAAACAAAGTAAAACAGTTAGCAATTTTCAGTAAGGATTGAAGGAGTAATGACTTCAGAAATTAATCCAGCAGAATTGGGGGGAAATGGAATATAATGGGAAATGACAAGCAGAAACTTAATGAACCAACTGCTGACAACTTCTGAAACTTGGAGATGAATATTCAAACTAAAATATCACTGACCACTTCCACTGTTGTGGAAGCAAAAGACTGTTATTTGATTGGAGTCATGAAAAGAGCAAAAGGCGACAGACTATCTATGGTCCACTAACTACTTGGTGGTAGCAAAAAAAAAAAAATGACAATGAATTTGCAGATTTTTGTCAGATGGCATACACATACATCCTCCACTACAGCACTGAAATAACAGCACTTGGTCATCTTCTTGACAATTTGAAATACTGACATTTATTTTGCTGAACCAGGTTGATATGTTTATATTGTGTGGAGGAATTATTTGGTTTTAATTTTTAATTGAGTTTTATTTGCAAACAAGATACTGCAAGTTATATATTTCATGACATGCTTAGTTATGGGCACTAAGTAAATCTACTACTATTGCTACTTTTGAGAGATGCAGGTTTACATGCAATAACAAACCTATCTAGAACAAATAGAACAACAAATAGAACAGGGGCCTTGTTTTCTCAGTGGGCCTGATGCTATCCCTTTGCCACAACAATTGCATATTTTGATGCAGCAAGTGTTCCAAAAATATTTTAAATTTTCTAATTGGAGATAAATACCCAATAATAATTAAGTAGCTACGGTAATAAGCAATGTTTCCCTGTCTCAATCAAGATTTGGGTTCAATTTTCACCCAACAATTCCACAGTTCCTTATTTGTACACTAGAGGTCATATGGCTACCATCCCATTCCAGCAACATGCAGATGGTTCATTAGCACCAGCTAAGTCTTTAAGGGGAAAAGGAGCTTTTGGTTTTTCCTAAAGTTCTATCCAGTTTCTGCAGCAAACAACAGTGAGGGCAACAGTGCAACAATAAAGCAACATTTAACAAGCAGTGACCTCAGGGGAGAAAAACAGCAGCAATCCAAGAAGCTGGCACAATAGATACTGCAGAGAGAAAATTAGGGTGCATGCATATAATGTGAACATCTACTGTGCAAGGGTGATGTTCTGGGAGTGGATGAAACTTGCTAATTGGTACTAAATCTGAAATATTAAATTGTTTTTTTAAAAAAGCATTGCTAGCAAATATATAGTAAAAATCATAATTTAGGAGAGAAAAAGTCATAATAAAGAGGGCTTTGTTGTCTGATATATTTGCATAATAAATTATGTCAAACAATTAATATAGGTGTTTTTTATAATTTATTTATACGAAATATTTGGTTTCTTTTAACTAAAGAAAGGTTCAAAATATGAATAACTTAGATGTTAAACTTCCAGCGACATCTTAATGGTTATCAAATATTCCAAACGTTAACTTTCCTCATCTTGCCTGTGTGAAAATAACTGCATTGCCTCAAAAGAAGACAAAATCCACTGAAATTAAAAAAAAACAAAACAGAGTATCATTCAGAAATGTTTTTCTCTTCACAATCTCAGAAACCAACAGATACTGTATGTAATTAATATTATCTCACCCATTTCTACCAAAAAAGGAGCCCTAAACTAGAAACTGTCATTGAAAACAATCTTAACTGGAGCAGGAGAAGAGTCACTATGAAGTATAAACACCAAAAGCTATTACAGTATGGGAGGACAGTTGTAATCCAAAATACCCCCGTTAAATTAAGGTGCCTTTCCTTGCTTAGCCCTGTTATGCAAGCATCCCAACCTAATTTAAAATGGGATAGCTATAGAGACCTCCCTACTTAATCCTGCATGAAATTGAGTTGAGCTATAGAATGGCTCCAGGTTCTCCATTATAAAACTTATTATCAAATTCAGTTGTCACTGAACATGTCTCCTTAGGATTGGTTGTCTGCAAAGACTAAAGACATACATAAAACAGGTCAGGCCTGCTTATAGTCACTCCACTTTTTAGTATTTACAACCAACAATTATTCCAAATAAGAAGAAAAGCCCAGCAGAGATTCTTACCCTAAAAGATACATGCTTATTCCCCAGTACAAATAAGCAATGTGCCCAACAGTGCAGTTCGTATGTTCTGATATCCCATCTGGCTTAGATGATGGGGATAGGTCATGAGTCAGACAAACACAGCTGTGTGTTCATGACAGGAATGTGCCTTGAGTTACTTGCATGTGTTTCTCTCACTTTCTGGATTGTTTTAATACTCTTGGGGGCTTTATTGCAGCTAGGGAATCTAGGTCTTTTTCTGTTTCATTTTCCCCTCCCCCCAAAAGGCTGGCTTCCTTCTTTCCACAAGCATATTTTTCTTCTCATAGGCCATTTTGGTTGGACTGACCTGGTAGATTTTGGAGATGCCTTTTCTCTGGCAGCTTATTTTCTGCACAGATTGTAGAAACATCACAATGTTGGGCAAGTGTGGTAGAGAGAAGCACTGCCAGCACAAAGGGTGGCAGCAGGAACAGGAGCCAGAACTGATAGTGATTATTTTGGAACAAATGCAGCTTGGGGTATTATCACTTTTCCTTTGCTTTTTTTTCCTCTCCCTTTCCTTTATACCTCATTTCTATCTGTCTTAAATTGGGGAAAAAGTTGTTGATGTCAGGAAGACCTCAGCAGTATGCCCTACTTGCAGTCATGAAAATGATTTGTTAACATAATTTCAGTTGCTGAGGCAACTGAAGCCAGTTTAAAGTATTCTGGCATGAAAGTAGTGTTTTCCCTATCACTGCAGCCCAAGTCTCTGCAGGCAGGCCTTCCAGGAGACATGGAGGAGGTTTTTGGAAGCTGGTGATCAGATGAGCTTCAGTTGGATTACCAACATACTTTAGTTCTTTCCTATCCGGTTGCTGGGTTTTATGACTGTGTGGCCCTTTCAGTTGTAGCTGTATGAGAGACCAGAAACCTCTCTTGGTACAATGGCTTATGGGATATCAGGCACTTTCAGGAGAAATTGGGTCAGGACTCTGTATGCAGAATGGTGACTTCTGCTGAGGTAGTGTTATCATATGCTGTTAGCAGCAGCAGTAAAGAGATTTGACTGGATTAGTAGCTGACAGGATTCAGTACAAAATGCGTAAGCATAGATACAGATTTTGCCAAGGACCATCTGCCCAGCACAACCACAAAGCTGTGCCAGCAGGAACATGTTGGTCTTGAAGTACAGTCTTCCCTTCCATCACCCTGAGAGGTGTTCAAGGATATGGTGTAGGAAAGGTTTTCCTAATCTAATGTCTTGTAGAAAAGTTAAGAATACATTCCCAGTTTTTGTCCCAACAGATAGAAAATATGGAGAGATGTACATTTGGTAGGGAAAGCTGGACTAATGTTATATGTACTTTCTCAAGGCAGCTGGATTCTTTCATATATACCTGTAGCATAATTTGGAGGAGGGTTGGGGAGGGTGAGGATTACACAATCCAAAATGTTATCTATTCAGCTCTATAGAAACTGGATTCGGTTTGTTCCATCAACCTTGGATGCAGGTTAGCCTCATCTCCACTTAGCATGTTTCACATCCATCCTGGAACTTGCATTCCTAACCTTCTAACATCTCCACCCCATCTTCCAGTTTTCCCTTAAATGTATGGAATGTAACATACCAAGATGGTATATTCTGTTTTCTTTCTTAGGACTGTGCCAAAATTACATAAGAGTACATCCAGACTCTTCTCTCTAAAGACTCTGACTAGTTTCCTTTTACCTAAATTCATAATTCAGGTATATTAATCTATTTCTGGACTTTCATTCACCATGAGTACCCATCAGATTTATGCAAAAGGAATTCACAACCTGCACTGTAAGACATGGCAAACATAATAGCAAATGAATCAAGATATCCTCTTAAAACCTTGGGCTCTTCCTTTGTCCCAAATCCCTCCAGACAAATTGCTAGGCTTCTAAAATCACCCCTGAAAGTCAATCAACTTGGGATAACTTCTGAGTGTTGAGAAAAGACAGAAAAGAAAGCAGAGATTGTTATAGAGAAGTCAGGGCTGGAACCTCTGAGGAGATTGCTTAAGCTGCCATATAAACTTACCTTGTTACTAAGGTGATAAAAAAATAACATATAATTCTGAAGTTGCAGAGACCTTTGACATAAATATTGGGGCGAGGTTGAAGAAACAATACATGTTATGTTGTTGAGCCGGGGAGACAGAAAGGTGTCCTGATCTCCTCAGCCTCCTTTTGGTTGCTTTATTAATATTCTCTGGCCTCCTGCAGTTGAGAAAGGTATTCATCCTCTGGAGGGTTGACAGCACACTGCTGCCCATTATTGGGAGGCCGCACAGCATGGTATCGACTCCAGTCCCCTTTGCAGAGGATCCAAGGCAGCATGTCCACCTTGTAGTGTAACTCAGGAGAGAACTCTGTGCTTATGAGGTTGGGCGCTCCTGCTCCCTTGCCTCGGGTAATGAGCTTGGTGTTCTCATCATAGCAACAGTGTTGGGCACCTAGAGTGGTGCTGTCCAGGGACAGCATGGAACGCAAGCAGAAACGGGCTGTGGGTTTGTAGATGTCCAATCGCTCCTTTGGCCCGCTGGCATCCTGCCATCGAAAGTTCTTGCCCTTCTGCTCATCTTGCAAGTTTACAGCATTATAAACAGCTTCTAAAGGGTAAGAGCAGGGACAGTTGGGTAGGTCTGAAAGCACTTTGCTTAGGTATTTGTTGAGGAAATCGCTCTTGCAATTAAGCCATTTCTCACAACTATCCACATCTGGGAAAGGAAAGAAGAATCAAATCAACATAAGTCATTAGGAGATTATATCTTATGAACTGTGTCCTAATTCTAAGAAAGCAAATACTTTTTACTACAACTTCCATGGTTCAGCTTAGCCTTTCCCATCATAATGACCTCCAAAGAAGTTGATAAATATGTTGCCTCCTGTGAGGGAGTTTATACTACTTAGAAATTATGGATTTTGTAACCTAACAAATATCAAAAGATGCTACATTGGGGAAGGGTGATTTTAAGCATGTTGGACCAAGTGTTTATTAAAACTACAGCATGAACGTAAGAAACATTTACAAAAAATTTGGAGGACAAATAGCAAAGCTTCTTGAATGCAGAAGTGGGTAGCAGGAAGTAAAACAGAGATTCTTGAGCCTATTTTGAAATCTTTACTTACTAAATTATATATATTTTTCTGTGTCTACAGAAAATAGCAGCAATAGGCAGATACACATAGCCACACTGATAGGGTGTGAAGTAATTATTTGGTGTAGCAATTAAGACTGGAGGGATCCATTAACTTCAATTACCTTCATTTTCTTATTTTCCACTCTTAATTGTATTTCTTGCCATTTCTGCATCCATTTGCAATATTAATAAAAATCTCCACAAAACTTTGTATACCTTAATGCCTATTTGGTTCCAGCATAAAATTGGGATAGCAAAATTTGAATGTCAAAGGCTACCAATACTTTTGTTCACATATAGTTCTCAGAAGTATGAATGAGACAGATCCCCATTACAATGCAGTTTCTTATTGCTCCCTAATAACAATCCTAATATTATTGTCTTAAGGGCAAGGACTTTACTGGCCTGCATTTAGAATCTCCGTGGCATTTTCAGCTTCAGAAGGTGTCTCTTCAGTGGTAGAAGCCAATTCCCCAACTTCTCCTTGAGAAAAGCACAGAAGCAAACAAGTCAGAGTGTACACTGTGAGATACAACCTGTTTTATGTAAAAGGTCTACAGGAATAGAAACTGAATATGCTGAATACCAGTTTTCTTATCATTTCCAGGACCACAATCTGCTCCCACATATAGAAGGGCTAAAAGCTTTCTTTTGAACTTCACAGTAGACTTTTAGCTGATGGCCTCAATATAGCTGGTGTATCAAACAGTTGAGTAAAGGTATAATGGAAATGGTTGCAATTAATAATGGATCTATTGATGTTTCAAGACTGTCATCAAATCTTGCTTCATTGCAAGAGACAACCCAGTTCCAGAAATTTCTTCATTTTATTTTATCAAGGAAACGGAGGAAGAAGTGCTTCTCAACATTCAAGGGCAAAGAATGGGAGAGGGATCACAGCCAAAAGCATTTTCCTCCTTCTCAGATTCCACATTAGTTCTCATAGGATGTTTGAAAAGACCATTTCTAAAAACTCAAAGAATTTCCACATGGTCCAGATAAAATAGGAATAGAGCATGCCCATAGACTGATATGGATGAATGAGTAACTCTGAAATGTTAAAGCAGAGCCTATGGAAATATTGCAGCCCAGAAAATTAGAACATACCGGGACAGTACTGCAGCTCACAAGTTCTTGATTCTGTGGCTGTGCATGCATAACCACAAGACCGGGTTCTCTTCTGATGGCCATTGCTACAGGTTACACTGCAGGAAGACCAAGGACTCCAGTCCTCTTCATCTTCATAATCTGGAGCCAGCAACAACAACAAGAAAATAAAACAAAATTCAATAAGATCAACAAAGTCTGGTGAAGAACAAAGTTAGAATCCTTCTACAAGATACACGGAAGAAGCCAGTGTGAGGTATACTTCTGTCATGAAGTTTTAGTTTTCCCCAAGGGTTCTTAATTGTGAGATCATGCTCTCATTTGCAAATGATGCTACATTTTACTAGATATTTTTTTATGAGGAACAAAAGGGAGAGTTCAGCTCCCAGAAGTCCCATCCATTGATCAAACTCTGCCTCAGAATTCTCAACTTGCAGTCCAATACAAACTATGCCTTTTAGATGTGCTTGGACTGCAATTTCTAGAATTCCAGTTATTGACTATGCTGATTGGAATTCTGGCAGTAGCAATCAAAAAATATAAATATCTGATTGGGAAAAGCTGTTCATAGTATACAATATAAAGGGAGTGTAAATTTCATGCCAGTAATGAATGAAAAATGCTTTGTTTTAACGAGCTCATTCTATACACACTGAGATCATATAAAATGAACTGTTCACCAGCTATTGTTCTTTGTCCCTTAATGGAAAGAGATTAGATCAGATTTATTAAGAGCAGAAAAGATAGACTCACCATAGTTGTATTTCTCTTTTAAGATCCAATTCTTTCGATTAGGCCACCTCTGATGCCAATTTCCCCCCACTCCACTCAGTACTATTTCTTCTTCATCATACTCCGATGTATAATCTTCCTCTTCCTCCTCTTCTTCATCCCTGCTCTTTGTGTTCAAATTGTCATCACCATCCTCTATGGGATCTGCGTATTCCCAGAAAAGAGGCCAAAAGAGGTCCTTATGGGATAACCAGTCAGAGGAAGACAGGGACCAGTCATTGCTAGTCTCCTTCAGCAAGTCCATCTCCATCTCTGCTTGAGGATCATTCACCACCTCAATGGTCACCTGGAAGGCAAGGCATTGAATCAGACTGTTTTGGAAGCATCAGCACTAAATCAAAAGATAAGCAGCACATTTTACCTTCAACTAACTATAGTCTTTCACATTTTACCTTTCTTGTCCGAAAAAAAATTGTCCTTGTAGCTCTTTCTCTCTGCTTTCTCCAACTATTCTTCACACTCACTTATTCTCTTTCCAACTGAATTAATTTTCAAACTCTATTTGTCTATTTTCCATTTCTATTTAATCGTATCTATTTGAGGGATGTGGGGAGTGCAATGGTTCAGTGGTTAAAGAAGCTGAGCTTGTCAGCTGGAAAGCTAATAGCCCAGGTCTGAGACCCAAGCACCACATGACAGAGTGAGCTTCTGTCCCTGCCCCAGCTACTGCCCATCTAGTAGTTTGAAAGCATGCAAATGTGAATAGATAAAATAGGTACCACTTCAGTGCATCTCGGCATATAGTCATGCTGGCCACATGACCAGGGAAATGTTTTTGGACAATGCTGGCTCCCTTGGTTAAAAATGGAGATGAGTACCACCCCTTAGAGTCAGACACAACTGGACAGGGAAAACCTTTTCCTTTACCTTTATTTGAGGGATATAAATTATGGATTGTGTGAATGTGCTTAAGTTTCTTTCCCTCTTTCTTTCATAGCTTCTGAATCATTCAATAAAGCTCCACGGTGAAAAATTTAGAGGACAGATACCTGCAAATTGCATCGTTAACAAAGGTATCTTATTATGAAGGTAATGATAGGCATAATCACTGCAGCTTTAAAAGGAGGGCCAAGCATATTCATGGGAAATAAGGCTATCCACGGTTACAGATCACAATAACTATGAATTATCCTCAGTATTATAGGCAGGCAGCATTAAGATAGGCATGTGGCTAACTACTGTGAAAATAACATGATGAGCTACATAAGCTATAGATGTGATCTAGCACAGTTCTTCAAAAGACATTAAATAATGTAAGTAACAAATAAAATTATTTGAAAGAGTTCCTTTGGAATACGCAGGACTGTATATAAAGCATTTTGTCTTGAACTCTTAAAAGAAAGAAAAATCATTGCTTTAAGTATTTGACAGAGGTTGCTTTGAATATTTTCCCATGCATTGAGGCCTTCCTTTCAAGAACCTTGCAGAGCCCCAATACTTAAACCTGTTCTCAGCCATCAGTATTTAATAATGATAAATGTATCTATCACCATTTTAGAATGAGTTAGAAAAACTAAACATATTTCATCAGTAAGTTTTGCCTACTCCACAAAATGAACATGAATTTGGACAAACTCTGGAAGACAGTGGAGGATAGGGAGCCTGGTGTGCTGTAGTCCTTGGGGTTGTGAAGACTCAGACACAACTAAACAACAATTTCAAAGTTATAATGCTCTTATGTGCAATGCCAGGTAATGAATGATTTTAGAGTAGACTTTCAGACCCATAGGGTAGTAAAAAAGAGCCAGACACAGGAAGTTCTTTAATTAAAAATGGGATCATGATACTTCTTATCATATTCTATAACTGGTACAATATTCAACCTCTATATGTTACACAGAAAATAAAATAATTTGTGCCTTTTAGTCAGTCTTGACACCTAGCAGCTACATGGACAAGTCATGGTTTTCTTGGCAACATTTTTTGGAAGTGGTCTGCCCATGAATTCTTCATAGGGCTTAGAAGGAATCTTCTTTTTCTAGCATTTTTTCCACAACTACAAGATCTGCTTCCACTTTTTGGATCAACCAAGTGTTGATGCATTGATAGCAGCAACAATTGACCAGTCAACCGGTTTGTCACCCTAGCCCAGGGGTCAGCAATCTTAAACACTCAAAGAGCCACAAAGTTCCTAACCGGAAGCCGCCCCCCCATTCAATTCTGGAGCCGACCGGTAGTCCAGTTCCCCCACCATACAGTCTCCTCCTAGCGTGGTGTCCTTTTTCCTCTACCTGCCCTAACCGAAAGCCCTATCAATTGTGGAGCTGACCAGAAACAGGGAGCCACAGCAGAGGGATGAAAGAGCCACATGTGGCTCCAGAGCCGCGGGTTGCTGACCCCTGCCCTAGCCTAATGTGAAAGTGACTGGCCCTATGTAATACTACACTATTCTATGTATGGCTCCAACATTCATGCAATTAATATCAATCTCATAGTTTTCAATTTAATTTTAACATTACTTTCGTGGCACAGTGGTTAGAATGCAGTATTGCAGGCTAATTCTGCTTTCTGCCAACTGCCAGCAGTTTGGCAGCGTGAGTCACACTGGCTTAAGGTTGACTCAGCCTTCCATCCTTCCGAGGTTGATAAAATGAGGACCCAGATTGTTGGGGATAATATGCTGAGTGTAAATCACTTAGAGAGGGCTGTTAAGCATTGTGAACCGGTATATAGGTCTAAGTGCTATTGTTATTATTTCTTTATTGAAATATCCTCAAGTTTCTTAAAGACCATAGTAAAAATTTGATCTGTAAAAAAAAGTCAATAAATGAAATTATATATTTTCCAGTCATTCTTTTTTGGGGGTATATTAGAAACAACTTTGCTATCCCCTATGAAAACCACTGGATTATTTTAGGGCAGTTAACAGTTCTCATGCTCCTTCACCTCAATAGAGTTAATGGGGAGGAAAAAAATCAAGTCTGTGGAAAAGAGAGACAGAGAGGGGAAGAGAGAGAGAGAGATGCAAAGGATTCTTCCACTTTTGATTTGTCTGTGGCTAGACTAGCAAAAATAGCTTAAGCAAGTCATGGGCCCACCTGAATGTTTGGATTCTGGGCATTCAGATCCACATTGGCTAAGCTTGTCAGGCTTTGTAAGTCTAGCACAAAAGGTGTTTTCTCTTCTGGGAGTATTTCCGCAGGTTGGAGTGATGCCAGCTGGTTCCTTGAAGCCTGTTGTAATGGCCAATGATGTTTGTGTTGATCTGGCATCACCTGTCCATTCAGCCTCAAGTTCTGCATCCTATGTGCCTGTGGCATTTCTTCTTTGAATGAAGGGACATCAGGTGATGTGGCAATCTGAAATGAAAGTTAGTTATAGTCTTATTGCCTGATGAAGATCCAGCATCCACGTATCCCAGCAGACATGTTATACTACAACTCCTATGATGCTCAAACCCTTTCCTTGCAAACTTGCATATAAGACAAGATAGAGCAGGCTCCAATGATGGTCACTCAAGAGGAACTATATTCTCTAAGCTTTACTGTTGGAAAAACCTTGTCCTATAATGTCAGCTATTACACATTCAGACCATGATGAAATAAGGAGCATGTTCTTTGCAGAAAGTCTGTGCAAGCAAATTGACTCACTAGTTACTTGCTGTAAAAAAATAAAAGTATTGTAATCATAAATAGCAATCACATCCCAACTAACTGTCAGTTTCCTGGTTGCCAGTGGTCCCTCATTAAAATAACACAAAATGTATAAAAATTTCAGAATGGCAAAGAAATCAGGGCAATTAAAATAAGTTAATTCTGAGCTCCTGATACACAAACAGTTGATGCACTGCTTTGTATACTTTATATTCTGCAGCATTATACAAGATGGAATCCAACTCACTGGAATATTTTTTTCCCAGTTCTATTACAAATGAAAAAAATTGGGTGTTGACTATGGGTTGGAAAATTAATTAATATAAACACTCCTAAGAACGTAGTCTGGGAATGATTTACAACCTAACACATACTGTAGTGATTTTTACCAATGATATTTTGGAATCAGTCTTCCAAATTCTGGAGTCTTCCACATGTGTTGGACTACAACTCCTGAAGCACCATTGCCACAATGTGGAAGTCTGTCCCAACTTTTCTTTGAAAGATTACTTCTGCAGGCCCACCATGACTCACTGCAAGGAGCTATTTCCCAACATTCAGCTTGAGTTCCCCAAGTCTTGTTCTCTGTATGCTACTTCCTTTCACTGCAGGAGCCCAGAATTTAGCTGCAGGATTAGAGAAACCGGGGATGCTCCCCCTTCCTCCATATGGGATACCAAGAGGCTCTATTACCTGCAATTAGGGCTTGATGGCTTTTGAAAGACTCTTCCCCCTCACTACTTTCATCTTGATCATTGGAGCACTTCAAAGGAGCTGGAGCTGGTTGGGACTCACATGAGCGCACATATAAGGCATCATCGATGGATTTACAAGGTTTGCACATCAAAGCCCTGGAGCCTGTCTTCCTCTCCCACAGTGAAAATGAGAGAAAACAGCAGGAAGATTGCTGGTCTCTGCTGTTTTTATTAAGGAGTGGGACCAGCCCTGGCAAAAGGGCTTGTGGTAATATTTCTGATCCCCAAAGAAAGCTTTAGCTATAAGACTAAAGGAAGTATGATTGCTCAATTTGGCAGAGATTCTCATACTCTTCTAATCAAGGCTTAAGTAGAGCTTCAAGGCTGGACAATGGGATTTTTTGGGTCTCATTACCAGATAAGACTAACAAAAAACAGGAGAAAAGCACAGATATTGACTATTAAAACAGCAAATGAAGAAGAGACAAACTGTTATTTCTTTCAGGTCCATTGCTCCAGCAAAATCAATGTTCCACCCAGTTCCTTTTAAGTTTAGTGAAATCGGGAGACCTAATAATAATAATAATACTTTTATTTCTATCAGCCCTGAGACCAGGTTCTTCAGACAGGGTACACTAAATCTTAGATACCAAAATCAAAGAAGAGGTTCCAACTGTTTGGTTCTGTTTATTTGGGTGGTTGGACTCTTATCATCTCTCTCCCTGACAAGCAACAATGATCAAGGTCTGTGCCTCATCTGGTGCAAAGCTCTCTAGAAAATAGATTATTTATTAGGAAGTACCAACAAAAAAAGCCCCTTCCCTTAATTCAGGGATGGGTACCCTGCAGACCCCAAGTTTCTTTTTTGTGGTCCCTCTCCTCTGACTTTAATTACAGGGACAGGAAATACATGAAAAGTTTTGTATAAGTACTAAATTAACTTAAATAGGTTTAAAATGTCCAAAGTAAGACCTCAACTTTCCCTTCAAAATCAGGAAAAGAAAAGCAATTATCTCAGCTTAACCCGTGTATATCTTTACTCCATTCCACTTCAGCTCTTGGGCTCTTCTCAAAAGCTCAGCTGAGACTTCTTTGCATTGTTCCAGTTCTTTCCCTTCTGATTTGGGAAATCTATCTTTTTTGCTGGTGTCTTTAATTGTGGAAATAAATTATTTCTAATATCTTCTCATTTTTATTTCATTTTCCTAAGAGACCTCAGTTATTGATAGTATGTTAACTTGAATGCAAGAAAGAATGAATGTGGCCCTCGGGTATCATAAAATACAATGAATCCGTTTCACAATTTACATTAAAATGTTTATAAAGAAAAACCAAAATGAGAGCTTGATACTTGACTGAAAGCATCTGAATAAAAATTCCTCATAGAATGGAAGTTCTTAATAAAGATTGTCTTCTTCCCATTCTATCATGGAGGTACAAGAAAGTCCAAATAAAATGCACATAAACCATGTGTTGAACTTAGTCTGATCCAGCATTCCTAGGAATGGGTGTAATTGGTATATTAGCTTGAACTATATATGGACTTTACTGAAATCTGGTTAGTCTAATTCAGGATTTACCCAGAAGGATGATCAAATGCAAACCTGAGTTTTCAAGAGGAAAGCTCTATCCAACAACAGGATGCTGGTTTACCCAAAATAGATAAAGGCTTTCCTTGAGCCAAATCCAAATCCTGATGACTACATGGACATCTCCATGCAGTTTACTTGGCAACAGGGTGGAAATGCTTTCAAAAGCTATTGCTATCTTCTGATATGTTTGTGTTGACTTTTGCTTTAGCCTATAGCCCCTGGATTTGCTATGATCTGAACTACAAATGCCAAAATTACTTCCTCTAGAAATTGCACAATTGGGAGACTTTACCATGCTTAAATTAGTTAGCGAACTTGTTCAAAATACAACAGAATATTATAATAGACAGGCTATTACGAAATGAGACCCTAATGTGGACATTTTAATATAAACCTACATATATAAATTAATTCATTCCTGAGGGACTGGGAGTAAATTAAAAAGCTATAAAAACACAACTTAAGTTCTGTCTGAACGATTTTTGACTAATCACCAGTGAGCAGAGGTACCCTCCAGATAAGGTGAGACTCTGCCTTCTTTTACTCTAGTACAAAAATCATGGCCTTGTCCATTTTTAAATCTTGTTACCCAACTACAGAGTACAGCCTTTTTTTTCAGAAGGGAGGGAGGAAGGAAGGAGAGAGATGAGGAACCTGGAACTATGATCAAGAGGCTAATCTCCATTGAAAAGAAATTGGCTGTGTTTGAGCAAACCTAGCGTGGGGAGTTATTCACAGAACCTTCATATTCCACAGCACACAACTTGAAAAACCTTGATAATAGAGATCATTGTGAATAGTCACACAAGAGATTATATACAAAGTTGAAACCACAGTAACCTTATATATAATAGCTCCCTCTGGCCCCAGATCAGAAACACAGTGAGTCTCCACAAAGTTGGCACTGTTCCTTTCTCACCTTTAACTGGATTAAAACTGCTGTGACCAACCACTGAGAACAGGCTTTCTGGCTAGCCATCAAAAGGCTTCAATGCTACTTTTAATTGTTTTGACCAGGAAAGCTGCTTTTACCACCTGCTTCCTTCCTGGCTGTATTATGCTCTTTGACCTTTCTTTGGAAAGAAGGAAACAGACTGAAATGTGGCTTGTTTATCTATATTCAGAGACAGACAGGCAGGTTTTGGAGGGGGATCTTCAACCTGCAGCTATATCCACTAAATCAATAGGATGGCAGAAGAGGAAGCTTAATATATCAGTGGGAAACAAAACTTGCAAATCCACAAGCAGCTCAGACAGATTTTGACTTGCTTGAAGAACGACACTGACCTAATTAATGGAATAATAACCCCCTCTGGCCTCTATATAAGACATCTTAAAGTTTGTAACAAGTTATCAGATATGTGAACAAGCAGAGAAGGACATGAATAATTAGAAAGGAGGACAAGTGGGGGAAAATGAAGATATACTAACTGTGATGTCCTTGACAAAAATCACAACGAGAAACTGCAAAAAAAAATTATTTCGACCTACATGTATATGACCCCTTCATGGATTACTGCCTTGTCGTGGTTAAGGGGCTTGCATAACTCAATGAAGCTATGAACTATGCTGTGCAAGGATACCCAAGAGGGACAGGTCATAGCAGAGAGTTCTGACAAAACATGATCCACTGGAGAAGGAAATGGCAACCCATTCCAGTATCTTTGCCATGAAAACCCCATGGACAGTACCAAAAGAAAAAAGATATGACGCCGGAAGATGAGCCCCTCAGGTCGGAAGGTGTCCAATATGCTACTGGGGAAGGGCTAGTACTAGTAGCGCCAGAAAGAGTGAAGCGACTGGGCCAAAGGCGAAAGGACGCTCAGCTGTGGATGCATCTGGTGGTGAAAGGAAAGTCCGATGCTGTAAAGATTTTTTATCCATAGGAACCTGGAATGTAAGATCCATGAATCAAGGCAAGCTGGACGTGGTCAAACAAGAGATGACAAGACTGAACATCGACATCTTAGGAATCAGAGAACAAAAATAGACAGGAAGGGGTGAATTTAATTCAGAGACCATCAGGTATACTAATGCGGGCAAGAATCCCTCAGAAGAAATGGACTAGCCTTCATAATCAATAAAAAAGTAGGAAAAACAATACTGGGATACAATCCCCAAAATGATAGAATGATCTCAGTTTGAATCCAAGGCAAACCATTCAATATTACAGTAATCCAAGTCTATGCCCCAACCACTGGTGCTGAAGAGGATGAAATTGACTGGTTCTATGAAGCCCTACAGCACCTTATAGAATTAACACCAAAAAATCATGTCCTTATCATTATGGGGGATTGGAATGCTAAAGTAGGAAGCCAAAAGATAACCGGAATAACAGGCAAGTTTGGCCTTGGAGTACAAAATGAAGCAGGACACAGGCCGATAGAATTCTGTCAAGATAATACGATGGTCATAGCAA